CACCATTTACCTTGTGCAAAACTTTCTCCATTCATTGGGTCGAAACAGTGGTAACGTTGCTTTCGCGCTTCCCGCGTAGGATGATCTGTTTGCCCTTATAGTAGAATTTCATAATTAATTTAGAAAAGTTCCAAGAGACATCACCTAGTGTAGTCAGCCATTCTATACCAAGAACTGCCTCATAGTCATCGATTGGTAGGAGGAAGAAATCGGTGATAATTTCTTGGTCTTGCAGTAATAGTTTCACCTGCGGGCATCTTTGGTCGCACTTTAGGATTCTGCCATCGGTAACCTTTACATCGAACTTGCTGCAACCTTCAATATGCAGTGTCATCCGAGCAGCAACCTTACTATTCAGGAAGTTATTAGTGCTACCTGTGTCGATGAGAACAGTGATCGGCTGTTGTTTGAGAAGGCCTCCAACTTTCATCGTTTGCGGGTTTGAGTAGCCGGCTAGTGCATGTACCGTAATGTCGGTCGGCTGTGGCTCTACCGCACTATGGAAGGAGGCGTTGGTGACGTCGAGGGATCACGTGCGGTTGAGGACACAACGGTGCCGTTGAAGCGGCCGAGGTTGAGAAGAGGAGTCGGTGCGTGCGTTGCCGAGGTTGAAGCGGCCGCACAAGAGCTTGCTGCGTGTGCTGTTGAAGGGCGGCTGCGGTGGTGTTGCCGAGGTTGAGGCTGCAGTGGAAAATGGAATCAACGGTGGCAGGCTGGGCGGCGAGTGGCGTCGTCGCTGGCTAGGCAGCAGCGGCGACGGTGGTGGCAACCGTTCGCAGCAACAAGGCGATTGCCCTGTTTCGGTCACCAAGGGGGCAGAGCAAGGGGGAGTGGCAGCGGTCGTTCTCGCCCGAGCCAGGGGGAGCGGCGGTTGGGAGGCGAGCAGCGGTCGCCGCACGGTGGCTGGCAGTGGTGGTGGGTCGGCTGGAAGGCGACGGCGCTCGAGGCGTGGCTGCGATCGAATAGGGGCTGCGGCAACAGAGGAAGCTCTGTTTCTGCAACCGCTGCAACGAGGGGCTGCGGCAACCGGCGACTGCGGTTGCAACCTAGGGGGGGCTTGGTTAGGGTTGCGGCTGGTAGGCTGGCGGCGGTGATGGAGCGACCGGGAAGCAGCAGCGACGGTGGGGAAGAAGTTGCCTTGCAGCGGCGGTTGAGAAGGGGAGCGGGGCTGCGGCAGGATGAGACGCTGTCAGTGTCGTCTCCTAGCAGCGGTGGTGACTCGAGTGGGAGGCGACTGCCACGGTGGACTCTGGCCTGAAGCGGGGCAGGGTCGGTCGCTGGCCGGAGAGCAGCAACGGCCGGCGGTGTGCTGGCCACAAGCAAGGGAAGCATGGGTGCATGGCTGTGGCTTCTTTTCTTCTCTCTCTTCTTTCTCTTCTTTCTTTCTTTCTTTCTACCTTTCTTTCTTTTTTTTTTTCTTTTTTTTTTCCTAAGATGAAGATAACTGCAGCAAGGGGGCCCAGCAGCGACGGCGGTGGAGAAGGGGTTGCCCTGTAGTGGCGGTAGAGAAGACGAGCAGGGCTGCGGCGGAGTGGGACGCTGGCAGCGTCGTCTCCTGGCAGCGGTGGTGGCTCGGGTGGGAGGCGACGGTGGACTCTGGCCGGAAGTGGGGCAGAGCCGGTTGCTGGCCGGAGAGCAGCGACGGGCGGCAGGTGGGCTGGCCGGAAGCAGGGGAAGCAGGGGTGCGTGGTGCGGTTGCTGCTTCTTCTTCTTTCTTTCTTTCTTTCTTTCTTTCTTTCTTTCTTTCTTTCTTTCGTTTTTTTTTTTTTTTTTTGATAGCTTCATTGCAACGAGAACGCCAAGGATCGTCGCTCTGATACCAATTGATAAGACCCTAAAGTCTTATCGTAGGCTCTGATACCAAATGATAAGACCCTAAAGTCTTATCGTAAAAAAGAAGAAGAGAAAGGGGATGATCACTTCGAGGGGATCGGCCTCCTAGGGTTTGTCAAAAGACAAAAATAGTATTTTTCATAGATTACTGAAAAGAAGCAGTTACATCCCTATTTATAGAGTTCCACCCAGAGTCCATCAGGACTTGAACTCTAATAATAAATAAATATTAGATAAACCTTTACTTGACTCTAACTGAACCAAACCGACTCAATAAACAAATGGACTAAACAAACTCAATAAACATTATTCAAAAGCTTAGAAAAAGGGTCCTAACACACTTCAAGTGAATTCTCCTCTTAATAATAAGAGGATAGGAGAGTCCACCTATGTAAAACATAGAATGGTTTGATTTTTTTTTTTTTTTTTGACATGCAACATTTATGGTTTAATTTCTGGGAATGTGCTTGACAGAAGGGAGCACCTCTCTCGCAATGGACAGTGTCATGGTTTTCATATTGAACATTTCACATGCAATGCCACTGCCTGTATAGAAAACCAGGCTATGGACATCACTTCGGTCTAGTGATGTCTAATCATAACCGACAAATTTTTTTTTCTTAGGATCAACCATAGGAATATGTCCTCATTTCATCATGTTAGCAGTGTGTTCAATATACACATAATTGTTACTGTTACTGCTAAGCTACTTTTAGAACCAGTTGTTACCTTGATACAGACATTTGAGTTGATGCACTAACAATATTTTTAAATATTGGTCCTATAATGGTGTTGGCAACCAGTTTGACTGGTACAATACAAAGGTACCAAGCGATATACTGACCTGAAACATTTGGTATCACTGAAAAAATGATATACTGAGTGGTGTGTAGTTTATGGTTTCTTTGTTGGTCCTTGATTTTACTGGAAAACATTGGCTGGTATATATGGATTCAATTGTTATTTTAAATCAAGTCTTTCTACAGTCACTTTCTGATGACATTTTCTGTAACATAATGTCTACTCTTTGTTAATTGTTGCCTTATTTTTTTATGACACAATTTCTAGCATAGATTGCTGGAAAGAAGATATCAAGGATCCACATAGTTTCCTGTATTTTTTTTTTTTGCTAAGACCGTAAACAGCAAAGAGAAAAAAAGTACTCTAAGAATCTATACTGTTGCAGCATTTCATCTTAAAGAAATGGTTATAAATAATATCGGATGAATGTGTCAACTAAGTTGTTGCATGTCTATTGGCACTTGCAATTTTTACAACACAAGTTAGGTGTTTCTGTCTCTATATGGAATGAAGATAACTGTCTCTTTCTTTGACCTTGCTTTCTTATACTACAGTTATATATAATGATACATGTTCCTATTGATAAACTCCCACACCTGTTTTTGTGCATCTACCTGTATGTGCCTATTCTGGCATATACTTGTGGAAGCAGATGGTGTATCCTGTGCTCTCTATTGTTTGCGTTATTCTTGTTTAAAGAACTTAATCGTTTGGCAAGTACATGGTTAGATTAAATTATTTAGTTAAGTTCTTTAGAATTCTCTTCTTTGAGCTGTTTGATATTGTTTTCTCAAGATGATTGCTGTGAACTTTTCAGCACATATAACTTGGACTTGATTTTGATGCTTATTTTTGTGTTTTTGTAATTGTTTTGACATCTTTAAGAATTATCTTTAGGGCCTTGTTAAACTTGCTGACTTTGGAGTTGCAACAAAGCTCACTGAGGCAGATGTTAATACACATTCAGTGGTTGGAACACCATATTGGATGGCTCCCGAGGTAAACACTATTGGAGTATTGGGTATTTACCTGTGTATATTTGCCAGTCTTCGTCCATAATTTTTCATTCACATTAACAGTTTTTATAGTTGTTAAGACTTAAGACAATGTAGAAATTTAGACTCAGATGATTATTAGGAACTTGCTATAACACTTTATGCTATGTTTGACCAATGATTAGTGAACAAACATTAGCCTTCAATAAATCTTTAACTTTGGCTTGTCAGGTTAATGAACATTGTCTGTATAACCACAACTAGGTGCTAATTAAAGAACAGAATGAAACTGCAAAATATCATGGGAAGGCTGTCTTTTCTGCTTCATGATCGATCTTCTGAAAATTTAGTCTATTTTATGGCTCTTTTTGTCTATCATGTTTTACTATGATCTATTTCTTCCTTTTTTTCACTCTACCATGTAGTAAGTATCTAGTTAATATTGCTCCATGGAATTCTTATGCTAATTTTTAGCAATGGCTGCCTATTTGAGCATCTTACTAGTTTGTAATATGTTCTTCTCCAAGAAAAAACTCGGCCATAAAGGGTCTTTCATGCAGCTTATCTGATATGTGCTGTAGTAGTGCTTCCTTGCCTGCTTTGAAATATAGGAGCAACTTATAGTGTTTCTCCAGTACAAAATAATGAGAAGCAGCAAGTCTCCATTTAGTTTTATTTATCTCTATGATAAACTTATCAATTTCAAATGAAATATAGATAACAGCTTTTTATCTTTATTTTTATTAATAATGGTTATAACTTAAATGATAAGGACAAAATGGGAGGGTGTTGATATGAGAGCAGGTTGAGGATGAATATGGTGAGTATAGTAGTAATGATAGCATGCTGATGATTGTTCGTAAGCAAATGGTAGTCAAAGAGGAGACGTGCAAAGTCAAGAAGAGGCAAAGGAAATTCTAGGGGAAGCTTTCTATCTATTGTTATGCAAGCTTGTCCATTTACCGATTGAATGGCTTTGAATCATACATAAAGATTATATATACATATCAATCAGGATTCAAGCTGACTGGTCTGGATTCAAGTCTTTTACTAGACTTACTGTTTCGGCCAGGTTACATGATATGTAGTTAGAAACTGGCCTCAATAAACACTTCAACATTCTGATGATTTATATTTCAGCATGTATGGGTTTCAGGCATGCTGATTAGTGCATGCATTTCTGGTTCTCTTCGTGCAAGCTGCTCTATTACTATAGTTTGTGGTGTTCAGGCAAGCGTCTATTTTGTATATGTATATACATTTTAAATTGTTGATGTTCTTACATGTATTCATAGATGGATTTGTGTCTGATGCTCAAGCATGTGTACAAATTCTAGATTGCAGTTGCTAGAAAAAATAATGTTATAATAGAAAGCAATTTACTGTCATCTGATTTAGCCATTCGAATCTTTTGCAAGAAAATGAGCAACTGGAAAATGCAATTTCTAATTTTATGATTTTTTTAATGAAGGAGTATTGGGTGTCTATTTATGCTTATTTAATTGATCACATGTGGTCATTATATCAATTTTCCTTGAGGATATGATTGGAGTAGTCTAGCTATGTCAAAGTAATTTTAAGATCCAATTACTTAGTTTTCAAGATGATTGTTTAATTGATTTCCTGTGACCATTGTGTTTATTTCCTTGGAAGAAATGTTTGGAGCAGTCTAGCTATGGCAAAGTAATTTTAAGATTCAGCTACTTAGTCTTCTGGGACCTGTTGATATGCAAGAGTCCTTGATTTAGAAAGATCTGTTTGTTCAACTTTTATTTAGACCACTTAGTCAGATTGATAAATTTAGATGATTAGATCAATATTAGGTGCCTGAAAGAAGGAAAGGTAGGTAGATGATACAGTTGTATAGAGGCTTCTAGACTGGTATAACTGAATTGTTGCATTATGGAAATTAAAGATGTGCTGGTATGCCTTATTTGAGTCCAATAATGACTAAGAAACTTTGGTTGAGTGATGTACAATGACAGTGAGGTAAAGTTCCTATAGTCTTTCCAGTTGCATTAGATGTCTTAAGGGTTTGGCCAAGGAGGCCTGTACTCCTATTTTCCACTTTTCTCTGTTACCTACTGTTCAAAATCCTCCGAAACTTTTAATGGGAATCATCTTCTACAATTTATATGGATCTTAATATTGTCTTAGCTTTTCCTATCAAAAAATAATATTTATCTAGAAATTTGAAATGGAAATCATCTTCTACAATTTATATGGACCTTATTTTTATCTTAGCTTTTTATATCAAAAAAATAATATTTTCCAGCATCTTAAATTTTCCAATCATTCACTGGACTGCAGGACTATCCCAACTTCATCTACTATCAGTAGACCTGTAATGAAGCCATTTATCCTTATGATTAAAAAATCTTTAAGTAGTTTTGAACTTTTTATTAAGGCTTGCAATACCACCTAGCAAGGGTCGCAATTTCGCTTATTCATACTGGACCGATCAAGGCTCAAATTGGTACCATACTTGGCGGTGCCAGTGTATCAACACTCATTACACTGGTATGTACTAAGTTTTGAATAAAAAAAAAAAGATGGAAAAAATTGTCCAATGCAAAACCTGTACCATCCAGGTGGTACCGACTCTGTAATGAACATACTGACTGATTATATCTATGTATCAGTTACCTGTTGGATTGATAAATATCTCCTGTACCATGTTAAAGTGGATAGTATGCCTGGTACAGGGCTTATACCATGCAGTAATTTTTTTTTATTTTTTATCCTGTTTTTAGAAAATTTCTGAAACTCAGTAGGCTGGTATGTCTCAGATCCATACGGGTTCGTCTCAGGGTTTGTTTGGGTTCAGTACCCAAAATTAAAAATCTTGGGTTTTATTTTGGATATTTTGTCTATTAGATCCTGTATCTATTCCTTATAATTTGTTAAGTCTATGCCCTTGTATAAAACCAGCTTTTCCTGGAAGTTCTTCTGGTTACATAAAAGGCTTTGTTGTACACGATCCTTGATATCTAGTATTACTACACTAAAATCTGATGCTCATCTTTTTTTCTTGCAGTATTTTGATGCCTAATATTTCAAGGGGTTCATCATTAGATTTTATTACAGTGTCAATTTTATTTTATATGATTGCGGTGTATATAAATATGTTCATTAGATATAATTGTCTTGCCAGATACCTTATTGAGTCTTGCCAGATACCTTATTGAGTTCATGTCTCATTTAACTTTAAATGGTCATGCTTCTTGAGGATGAAATAGTTTGATCTCTTTCAGGTTATTGAAATGTCTGGTGTATGTGCTGCATCAGACATCTGGAGTGTTGGCTGCACTGTCATTGAGTTATTGACATGTGTTCCACCATACTATGATCTGCAACCAATGCCTGCACTATTTCGGATTGTTCAGGTATGGATAGATATCTTTCAGTATGTGGCTTTTCAGCCTACATTTCCATTCAATTTGCTAATAGAAGAGTTAAAATTCAAAATTATGTGGTTGGTGACATGGTGGAATAGTATGCTGCAAAGAGACTGCCGCAAGGAATAAAGCTTTATCTGTATAGAGGTTTTTGGCCATGTGCTGGCATGAAATGAGAAATTTCCATGTCTTGAATGTGTTGTAGGCGACGGAAAAAATAGAAGACATGATAAAAGTGAATGGCTTACCTGGACCATGGACTCCTTCCCATTGTATTTTTCTCCTTGGCCTCTTCACTATTGTTGAGAACCAATTTGGCAGAGCGTTCAAGTGCCAAGCCTTGGCAGGCAAACAAGGAAATAAATATCACCACAAAATATTAAGTACTGTCCATTTAGTAGACAAGTAGGATAATAACTGAACTGGCTAGTTAATGAAGCTGGCCAGTCTAGTATGATTTAGTTTATTCAATTTATGAGTCAATTGACTCACTGATAACCATCCCTGGTTTCCTTGTGGGTATTGGTATTTGGTACACTCCCCATGTGGCATTAACTGCCACTGCTTATACACTGATGTAAGCTGCCAATCTGGATAAGCCATTTTTATCGGAGTTCATGGATGAAATTTTATTAGTAAATTTCACCCTGGTGACTATAAGTTGTTTATGGTCAGACCTAGCAACAGCTAACAAACATTTGCTACCTATCACTGTTAACCTCTTGGTCACTGCAAATGATCGTCCACTTAACCAATCAGGCGAACATCAGTATGCTGATGGTCAACCGTTGATGATCGTCTAACAACTAGTAATTTGCTTGATGGTTGACCTGTTGGCCATTAACAACTGCCCTCTGATCGGTTGGAATTTAGTGATCATCTAATCACTGAATTAATTGGTTTCACCTAATTAGTACATCAGTCAAAACCAAATAATCAGAAGCAAACAAACTACTGAAGTGACTAAATTTATCCTTCCATCATGTCATGATAAACAAACTAATAAAAGTTGAAAGTCATTTTCTGAAAGTATCATTTTCAGAAAGCAATTAATTTTTTTATGTGAAATTACTTACCTAAACTCGAGCAGGCTCCTAGCACTATATGGATGAATCTTTGTTAGGAGGTTATTTACATCGGTTCTTGCTGGTTGTATAAGGAGTAGCATCATACTATTAGATTTTCTGTCTGACATGATGCTGTCATATTCATGAAGATTCAGATGGAAACACCTGGCAATAATTTGATGAAAGTATTTTAAACTATAGATATCCAAATCAGAAGTTTTTTCAAGCTGGCAAACTTTAATGTGCAACATATGAGAATCAACAAATTTGAACAGTGAGATTCATTTGTTTTATTTTTAGATGGAAATATCTATTCTTATTTTTGCTGTTCTCCCATTCTCATTTTTTGCAAACTTCTTTATCTGCTTCTTTGCATATCTTTGTAATTACATATGTTTGAAGAGAAAAGGAAATTTAGCATTACTCTCTAGAAAACACACGAAAATTGAAAAAAAAGATGCAAGTAAATTAAGGGATGACAGAATTTGGATGTTCAAATACAAAGCAATCTGGATATTAGATGATCAGTTAAAGCAATCGGAATAGGTTTAGTATTTAAATATTTATGATTTAGATATGTTAAATACCATGTTTTACAAAAACTGTCGAGGTAAACTACATTTTAGAATATATCTTTTTTACGTAAGTTTGTTTCTAAATGTATAATCAATTATGTGTTTATAACTGCAGTTGGTTCAAACTCTTCTTTGTTGATCTTGCTATTGAATGTCCATTTAATATTGTTATATCTTTTAATTGATCATAAAAATAGGCATGTGGATTATTATAGAATTGAAATTGTCTTAGTTTTCTTTCTGCATGAGGAAATATCTTTTTTCCGGATTATCATTTATGCTTAGTTGGACCATATTGTCCTAGTGTGAACATGTGTGTTTGTTAATGACAAAAACTTATTGGACATCAAACCCTGCAATATATTCTAAAGTGTAGGTCAGGAAGTACCTAAGATAGCTTTGCTAAAGTTAACAAAAGAAAGATCTGACATATCTTTCTTTAAACTAGCAATATTGCACTTGACAGAGCTTAGTAGAAAGATCCATGTAGGCACAATATTTTGCATGGATGACATAAGGAACACTTAGGCATTTGATTTTTTTTTCTGATACAAATCATTGCTTACCTTTTATATTGGGCTTGATTTTTTTTATGATCCATATATGTCTTATTTAATATAATTTTCAGGATGAGCATCCTCCCATTCCTGAGGGCCTCTCACCTGACATTACTGATTTTCTTCATCAATGTTTCAAAAAGGTAGATTAACTTATTACTTGGAGTAATTCTGGTAGAAAGATGGTACCATCATTGCTCCACTTGTAATCTATTCAGTAACATTGCTTACTTGAAGAATCATTTTCAGGATGCAATGCACAGACCAGATGCAAAAACATTGTTATTGCACCCATGGATCCAAAACTCAAGGCGTGCTTTACATTCCTCTCTGCGTCAAGCAAGTGGATCAATAAGGTAAGCTATTTATTTCTGTGGCATATTACTCTAAATGTGAATGAAGAATTCTATTTGCAATACATCATTAGTTGCTTATTCTTTACAACATCTTTTGACTTTCTTTTTTGTTCAATTAAAAGTAGTAAAATCTTGATCTAGTACCAGTACCGACCCTCAAACAAATTGGCGTTGGTACACATCAATTCCGTTTGTTGGTTTGGGCATGTATTGGACTGTATGGGCGACTGATTCTGATCATATTAGATTCTGTTTAAGACAATTAAAAATTTTCTTTTATTTTTTGCTCAATAATGAATTGAAATATGTTCTTAAGCTGTATTGGAACTCACATATGAAGAGAACTTTTACAAGTATTGAAGCAAGGATTAAGAATTAAATATTAAGTAATAGAAAAATAAATGTCATTACTGGTGACTTGTAGTAAAAAAATCTCATTATATTGGAGCATATTGCAGGTCGTGGTCCCCAATGTCGAACAGTTGAAATCAAAATTATAGGCCTGCAGAACCCACTCATGAGACTACAATGAAGGGAGGGCAAAAAATGAGGTAAGGGCAAATAAGGGGTAAAAGCTTAATAAAAAAAACTGAGGCGAGGGCAAACTTTTGGTTCATAAATAGTTTTGTACAAAGTAATCAATCATGGGCAATATCAATTTTGCATATAAAACAATACTAGCAAACCTCATCTATGTAATGTCAGCTGGAAGACAAGTTTGTGCTTGTTTATTATTAATTTGTACAGTTCTTATAGGAAAAATAACTGATTGTTTGAATACTGCAAAGCTATTTACTTTCTGTGGTATTTATGTTTTATTACTTTTTGATAAAATCATTAAATGGCTTATATATTGTACTAAATGTATTTATTTTTTTCTATATTTTTCTCAAAGCTGTTCGTTTTTTTCTATATTTTACTTACTGCAAATCTATTTATGTTTCTAATAAAAAGTGCTAAATTATATTTTTTTTATGATTCATTTTTCTTATTTTGTTGATACTGCAAGTTGTTATTTTGAATCTGCTGGAACTACTGAATTGCTGAATCAGAAACTCCAAGAATTTTGCTGAAACTGAAACTGAGATTTCCTCATTTTTCTGGCTTTAAAATTTTTTTATTGTGTATGTACTAAAGAGTGTACAAGGTCCAAATATCATTATTGGTGTCTTTATGAACCTTGTCACATTGGTGTATAGTATTCCACGGTATGGTAAACCAAGGACTGATGTCTTGTACAGACCACCTGAATCAGTCCCTGGGTACATTGGTATGTAGAGGAAGAAGAGGAAGATGAAGAGGAAAAGGAGGGAACAGATGGTGGTGGAGGAAGAGGAGGAAGGGCGAAGGAGGAAGAAAGAAGAGGAGGCAATGGAGAAAGAGGAGGATGGAGGAGGAAGAGAGAGAAAGAGAAAGGAGGCAGTGGAGGAAGAGGAGAAAGGAGGAAGGAAGAAAAAGATGCGGTAGAGGAAGAAGAGGAAGCAATAGAGGAAGATGAGGAGGAGGAGGAAGAGGAGGAAACATATCCGGAATTGGTGGCGCATGGTGAGCGACAGCAGGCGGGTGGCTCATGGGCAAAAAAGGCTCACAAAGTCGAGCGCTAAACCATTTAATAAATAGTTTTATTAATAAGTCGGACCAGACCACTGGGGGTAATCCACGTAACAGTTCATGCATGAACTAGTACATACTGCTCATTTTATGGGCAAAATGATGTTCCACATGGTAAACCAATGAAAATAAATGTAAAAGTTGATTAGTATGTTGGTATTGCTTAACACCATTAGTATATGTGTATACCAATACATTATTGATTGGTACAGTGTGTAGGATGTTACAGTGGGTATTACCAAATAAATACATCATTTGATTCATCGTTTGCAAAATTTTTATTACATGTTTGAGTTCTTTTTTGCTGGATTTCTGCTTATTGGATGTAATCTTTAGTACTACAATGTGTAATGGAGCTGTGCTATTATTTCTTATTATTACTGCAGATTTGGTCCAATGACTTGTACAAATTTCAGGAACATTGAGGAGGATGTTACAGTGGGTATTACCAATTTAAATATGGATAATCATAATGGCAGTGATAGCCCATATGCAGAGAAGATAAAGAGTGGTGTATCTGATCTTCAACAACTATGCTCTTTGTTGCCCAGTGATAAGCCAAAGCTTGAGGTTTTCTCAGTTTGCAGATATGCGTTTAAGAAGTAATTCATAACTGTACTGAAAATGATGTCGTGTTTATTCATGCTTCAGGAAGAATCTAACAAAGAGCAGTTGGCAACTGATTATATTCAAATAAAATGTTCCGATGAGGATAAAAAACCCAGTCCTCTTCAGAATACCTGCTTAAATGGTGTAGAAAGTAAAGCAGAAGATCTGCTTTCTGCTAAAGATCCTACCTTAGTTATCTATGAAAAACTCTCTTTGAAGTCTCCTGTTAAAGAAGTTTTAAATAGTCCAGTAGTGCCAGAAGGTGATGGAGGTGTAAGTCCTGATGAAAGTGGTATGTTCTCCTTTGGATCGAGAGTTGACAGAAACAATTTTCAAAAGGTGAGATACTAGTTTCTCTGGTGATGAAGTTTTCTTTTTTGTCACCATTAACTTTTTCTGAGCATAAGATGGCTTCTAGTCAACAATTGCACACAGATTTGAAGTCATTTTCCCATTCTTTTGAGACTTTGTTCATGTAATTTCTGTGTTGGCATCCTCTATGTTCTCAGTTTTGATCTAGAATTTTTCGCTCATCAGGCTAGAAGGTTATATTATAAAGCTCAAGTTGCAGATACAATACAATATATTTTTGTTACTCATTGGTTTTTTTGGTTTTACTAATATTGTTCTTTCCTATGTCTTTCCTATGCTTGCCACATAAACTATTTTTAGGCACTGTGATCTTTTACAATATTGGTTAACTAATTTATGGACTCAACTATTTTTCTTGTTAATTTTGTCTCTCATCTGACAATCTATTCTAAAGGTTTCGAAGCAGTCAATTTCTTTTGGAGTTAATGAGCTCAGTAGGTTTAGTGACACAGCAAAAGATGCTTCCTTGGATGATTTATTTCAGCCACTAGATAAACAGAGAGATCAAGGTCTTGAAGCTTCATCATCTGCTGCTGGTCAGCAAACTGACTTGGCAAAAGAACTCAAAGCTAGGATGGCTCAGAAACAAATGGGAGCAATGCAGAACAATGGTGGAAAGCTCTTGGAAATGGTCACGGGTTTGCACAATGATGTAATTGATATTGATGGTTCGGTAAGTTTGGAGAGTATATGTGAACTATTGTCTTCAAGTCTTACTAATCTTTATATTCTATACATAGTGCTTGAATTTTGAGAAGTATTTGCTTGCTAATTGTTGTTGCTTTATAATTTACCAGGTCTTTGATGAAAACCTGCCGAGTGATAACCTTTTCCCGATTCAGGTGGTTATTTTTTTTCTAGAATTAAAATTTAAAGAATGTAGATGGATCGGATGTACTTTCGATGCTTTACAGATACTATTTCAGATACTATCACCTTATGATTTGATCATGTAAATTTCTTAATGTTACTATACAATCTTTTGCATTGGTTCTTCTTTGAGCAAATTCATTAATTGAATCCTCATTAAGCTGAAAATGATTTGCAAGTACATGGAATTTATGGATCTTATTTAACCAAATTTAGATGGCACATGTGCAATAGTTGATAGTATAGTTTGTGTATTCATGTCAAGAGAAAATTTATTAGTATTCTGTTGTGTTTTAAAGATAACAAGGTGCAATCCTTTTTTTTTTTCTAGAGCTCATTTGATACAAATACTCCAAAAATAAGCATTGTTGGTCATTTTTGATAGTAACCTAGTGATTGTACAAGTTCATCTTGCAGCTGAATGTGATAATTTGGTATGCCTTTACCAATAAGAGGCATGATTAGTTGGGTATGAGTGTCTACAAGTATTTAGATTATCAATTTATTTGTCGTAACTCCTAATCAACTTCCATGATATAGCTTTACACCTCTTGTATTCTGGTGCTCTTTTTATTTATTGTTTGGTACCATTTCAATCTTTATAGTGTTCCTGGCATCTTATTGTTCAGTTCTTTACCATGTTGTAGATAATAATTGCTCCTTTATATCAAATTTCTATGTAGGACAAACATCTTGGTGCTATTGAACTGCTTATGAGTCTTTTTTTTGGATCTTTGCTTTACCATGTAGATAGGTGCCATGTACCTCATTTGGTTTAGGATATTGTATGTTGGGATTCATCTTCTGAATTGATGATATCATTCTTTGGTAGCACAGACCTTGGTTTGTATGGACTGTGATCCTGTGCACGTTGAACCACTTGATAATGACTTTCCTAGTGTCCATCTTTTCCTTTAAATACATTGTTGATCTGTATTTGTTTTGCTGATGACCATGGGTAAGCAGCAAGATTGAACTTGAGCACGTTGGGTGGTGCTAATTCTTCTGATGAAACCTCATAATCCAGATTGCCTCATACTACCTACATTGTCGAACTGAGGGGCAATCCTACCCATTCTCTATGGCCTGGTAATGGTTATTGCTGTGACTTTGAAGATCAAGTAAACTGACTTGGTTCATTTATGCTGCCGTTTGCATTGTCATGCTCATAATGTGAGTGACCCGGTCGATATCTCATCACCTTCTTGTACATATACTGATGCTCCAATGAAGCCCATATTCCGGTTGAAATGTCCATGTCAACATCAGCTATGACCCTCATACTCTATGTATATTGGTTCCTCTAGAGCATGGATATTAGATTCCTTTCAGCTGGCCTTCTCCTGTAGTTTAAGTGCTTTTCTGGCATCAAGTTGTTCTCAGAACACCCTTCTTATCTCTAGAGGATGAAAAAAATCCTAGTTATGATAATCAAGTGCCAATGAAATGATAATCAATTACTTATTATGATTGTTCTTTCCAATCATGCAAGAATAAACCTTTATTAGCTGTTAAACAAGTAGAATGAGCTCCTAAATGATGCAAGAAATCTACATATGAAAGAATGTGATCTTTATTCTTAATTACTAATTAGGACTTAATTAATCATCAAACTCCTAATCAGTCAAAAATATATATAATCCTTAAGCTAATTACATGAAATGATGAAAATAACATGGAAATTAGTTAAAAATCGTAACTTGAAGAGATGTTTGATAGAATCTTGACATTGAATCCCTCTTTTATCCAAATTAGCTCTCCCTAATCACTGATTGAGGAGCTTAAGCACTTTTAAATCAAAAATCAAGAGATGGAGTGAGAATGAGTGTGATAATGAGAATGAGTGAGCTAGAGTGAGAGAGAGAGAGAGGAGATGAGAAGGCACCAAATAGGGCTTAAATAAGCCCCGAACAACTGCCAATGGTCAAATTGGAGCTAATCTGACCATTGGCTACAATATCTGGTCAAAATCTGGATGTTACTGGTTACTGACCGGTATAACTCGGTAATAGCCAAGATTTAACAATTTCATTGGTACTAGAGGTGTACCGAGCTGTCACGGACATAGCTGGAATTGCCTAAGTCGTGAGGCACCCTTGCGGCAAAGTCACGAACTTATCTGAAGTTGCCTAAGTCGTGAAGCACCCTAGCGCCAACTCCTCAGACTTAGACGGGATTGCCCAAGTCATGAGGCGTCCTTGCGACATATGCGTCCACAAAGGTTCAGCCTAGTTGCAACCTCGTACAGGTCCCCAAGGACTTGTAAAACAAAAAGTTGATTAGATTGAAAACGAGCAATGGACAAGTCCCGACGTCTCGCGAAGAGGGAAACTTTACAAGCAATTCAGCGAGTACCTTGAGTGCAAGAGAGAAAAGAGAGGAAGGAGAAAACAAAGACTTTAGAAGGTAGAACTAACAGTTGCAAGTCCACAAACAACTACTCACCGGGTGCCGGGCGCGAAGGTAAGTTCCCGTCAAGTTAACGTGCGAACTTGTGAAGATTGTTTAACGCCCGACGATATACCGAAGCCTCATCCAGCCCTGTGCCACCCGGGGGGTTCCAGGGTGTTGAGATGGCTGTCATTTCATGTGCAGCAGCGGCGTGCAGAAAACAAGTTGTGGCACGCGAAAACGGAGCCATTTTTGGAAAGTTCGGCCCAGCGCGATGAGCGATCGTACTACAGCGCTACGAACTGTCGTTGCTTACATTTTCCAAGCAAAAACACACAAAACCAGGGCCAAACATGCTATCATGTCTTTGTACAAGCATGCAAAAGTGACGAACGGTTCGTTGAACGAAGTTGTTGCAGGTGCACGATGACCGTTCGTGACAGAGCCGTACCCCATTAGTGTGAACCCCCAGGTCGGTATCAGTCAAAATTCCACCTTTTCAGCTGGTATAAATCAGTGATTTAAAAAGCGCTAGGCGCCAAAAGGCGCCAAGGTCCAAAAACGCCCGAGGCGCTAGGCGCTCTCCCGAGCGAAGCGAGGCGCTAAAATATAAAAATATAAAATATAATTAATAAATATAATTATTTAAAATTTTAAATAAAAATATAAAAATATATAATATAATTAATAAATATAATCACATTAACAGTATAAACCTGCTGACGGAGAAACGAGGAAGCAGCGGCGAGCGGTGGCAGCAGCGACGGCAGCAGCGGCAGCAGCAGCGGCGAGCAGTGGCAGCAGCGAGCGGCGACAGCAGCAGCGGCGAGCGGCGGCAGCGGCAGCCGGAAAGGGAAAGGGAGCGGAAGGCGCGAGCAGCGGGAAGGCTCGCGGGAGGGCTCGCGGGAGGCGCGAGCAGCGGGAGGGCTCGAGGGAGGCGCGAGCAGCGGGAAGGCTCACGGGAGGGCTCGCAGGAGACGCGAGCAGCGAGAGGGCTCGCAGGAGGCGCGAGC